AAAGGTAAACTATTTATATGTATTTTGTTCTCTCGTGTAGAAGATACAGTAGCCACTGAGCTTCACATGCGATAAACGCAAGGGCCATGTATTAATCCTCTGTAAATGACCTACTAATAGTGGCCTGCTTCTTTAATTTTCAATAAACTAAACTATCACCAAAAAATATAGCAAAACCATTAATGCTTTATCAACACATCCAACCCAATCACTATTTTTGCTGCAAGAGACTAACATAAATAGTATTTTCAACAGTAGTATCAACTGTAGAATTTGTATGTTTAAAAGGAAAAACATCCTCATCAAAAACAATATTTCTGAATATGAATGTGTGCGTGGTATCCGAATGTAAAGTTTGTAGCCTTTAAACCAAGTGGATAATTAAGAAAAATACATTTTAAAGCCCTTGGTTGATGTGTGATTTAAGTGTGAATAAGCAACATAGATAACCAATGACTCTTAAATGATCATGAGTAGGTGGTATCATATAAGGCTTCAAATGGAGATATTTATGCAATAATTGAGTAGGTACACTAGTATGATATGTGTGGCATCTAAGATGGAATAAATCCAAAAGGAAATGGGTAAATGTGCATGAAAAAGAATTGTTCTAGCAACTTGTAACAAATGTTGATATTTTCTTTTTACCTTCCATTTTATTGGGGTGTTTCAACACAACTGATTTGTATGCTATTATTTAAAAAAAAATCATGAAAGAAGAATTATGTTCCATTATAAGCTCTTATTGTTTTTATGGTTATGTGAAATGAGTTATAAATATATCGTAAAAATGAGGAAGACTAGCCTGAGTATTAGACTTTTAAAATAATGGGTAAATCCATGTTACTCTATTGTTATCATCTACTATGGTCAGGAAATGTTTATGGCCAAAATGAGAAATTGTTGAAAAATGATCCAAACATCACAGTGTATCAAATCAAAAGGAGCAGAGACAATAGATTCACTTTGATGATAAGGCAAACATTTTTGTTTAGAGAAATGACATACATCACATGGTAGTTTGTGTGCAATCTTACATTAAAGTGGATTGACAACAAAGAGTTCAACAAGTTTATGATATGAGAGATGACCTAGTCTAAAATGCCATAGAGACTGTGGAACAATAGAAGAAGCAGTAATTACATCAGAGAAAACATTATTAGCAATTGAAGAATTAGAAAACGTACTAGTAGGCATGTGATATAAACTAGCTTTTGCTTCAGCAAAAGCAATCATCTTGTGCAATGTTATATCCTTTAAAAGGCAACATGAAGCAAGAAATTTTGCATAACAATTATTTTTAGCAGCCAATTTTGATACTAATACGAGATTAAAAGTAAAACATGGAACATATAGAGCATTAACAAGAATAATATTCAGTAACAGGTTGACTTGACCAATATAGTATGCTTCAGTATGCAACCATTTGGTAAATTACTTTTGATTGAAACATTTTATGATATATATGTGAAGAGATTCATGTCACAAATCATGTGGTCTGTACCTTCAGTATCAAGTATCCAAGTATCAAAAGTATTAGCTAAATATGCCAAGGGAGTAGAGATACCTGAAGAATTAATGACAACAGTTGTGGTGGCAACCATAGGAGTAGATAAAATCTCAAAAGTACTATGATTATGCTCATTTGATTTCTTAAATGCTAAAAACTCATAAAAGAGAGCACTAGTCATGGAATTTTTGGCAGAAACATCAACATTACTACATCCTCGAGAGACAATAAGCATAAGAAAGAGTTGGATGTATACGAGGGCCAACCCAATTTTGTGGGTAGCCAATGACCCAGTAACATCCCTCTGAGGGGTGATTGTACCTACAATGATCACATTTAAAACTCTGTTTATTGTGAGTAGAATATGTTTTGGAAACCATAGCAACAAGTTCGGAGGTTCTTGAGGTAGAATGAAGTGAACGTTGAGTCTCTTCTTGCAGAAATATAAAGTAGACTTTAAATATGGATGACAAAGGACTAGATAACATAAATTGACTACAAAAAGATGAACGTTGAGGCCTATCAGAAACTTGATGATCGAGTCATTGTGTTGAAAAATTGTCATAGACTCAAAAATGTTGCAAGTGTAGGAAGAAAAAGCACCACAAGTACATTTGAAAATAGGCTTATATGTGATGTACTCATCCCAAAGAGAATTAAAAAAATTGTAGTACAGTGTAACTGACAAAGAACCTTTATCCATAGAAGAAAGAGATTTCTCGAGTTAAAAACCTTAGGTCCACTACTGGGTCCATTTTAGCCTTAATCTCATCCCAAACTTCTTTACCAGATTGAAAAAATAACAAGAATTGACATATGTCTTTGAAAATCAAATTCAAAAGCCAAGAAATAACTAGGTTGTTCGCACGAATCCAAGACACATAATCAACATGATCTGTAATAGGAGAAGGTGAAGAGAGTGTACCATCAACAAAATTGAGTTTGTTCTTTAACGATAGAGCCATAACAACATATCTGGACCAGGAAACATTATTGTCACCTTTGAAAAGCTCGACAACAATCAACGCACCCGAATTATTTCTCTCATGCATGAAATAAGGTGATGAAGGATCATCGATCGGAAGTCGCGCAACAGACATCATATCTGGACAAAATCAGGGTTTTCATCGAATATACAGAACAAACAACCAAAAAGAGAAAGGAAAAACGTATATATGTGCAACGAAAAGGATCGATCAAGTGAATGGTATCATATTAAACTTGTAAAATAAAAAAATATCAATTGAATAATAACACGTACGAGAAATTCATTTCACAAATCACAAAGAGAAAATAGGAAAAAGACGGATACAATGTTTGGAAAAGAAAAAATGAATTAGGATTTCTCCGTACTACCTATTTATACATGTACTATAAGTACAATTATTTACTATTCTAGAGACATGCCTATAGAGTAAAGATATTTACAAACATATAATATCATCTAAAACATCATTTAATACTCTAAAATAAATAAAAAAAATATAAATTTGTGCACAATCTAATTGGAGATAGTCACATAAATTTAAAATGTGTAAATCACTTATATCTATTTTGTTGATTTATTCCAAGTCCTTAATTTCACATAAAAATGACTAAAAACATTTAAAATAAAGAATATTAATGTGTGTCCAATATTTCACATGCATGTCATAATAATAAATGGCAATTCTCACCGGATTTAATGCGCTGGTGGCGTTCAAATTAAGTAATTAACTAAAAAAGATACTACCTCCTATTCTTTTTAAATATCATTTTGACTTTATCAACTATTAACTAAAATAAATGTCGTTTTGGATTTTTTGTACATATTGTTCCATTATTACCCTCATCTATATATATATAATAAGAATTACCATTTACCAAAAATAGTAGCAAAAAAATCTATCAGAATTTAATGCAGCTTATAAATAGTAAGTTTTATTATTTTTCTCTTTTTTGCTTTAAAAATCATACAATATTAAATGCTATCTTAAATTTCGGGCTTTAGTTCATTTTATTATTTAAAAAATCCGGTTAAGATTTATTAAATGTGTATGTTTTTATTTTTTTATTTTTTTATTTTTTTAGAAACAAGGAAAAATTAAAATCTCGGTCTCTATATTTATAAAATCTCAATTCAAAATATAACAAAAGTTTTAAAATCTCGATCTTTATATTTGTGCCTTTAAAAAAATATTGAACGCTAAAAATATTATTTAAATTGCATAATCAATCAATTAATCTTAATTTTTTGAAATTACTATGTTTATTTTTTATTAATATGCATAAAGTAAAGATAATTAATTCATCTTTAGATATATAATTTATAATATTAATATACTATCATTTGGTGTAGACATTTATTATATGAATCATAAAATATTTTTATTTCATAAAATTAAATATATTTAAAGAAAATAAGAAAATTTCTTCGGATCAATCAGGTGATTGAATTAGGGTACTGCTCAGGTTGATTGAATTACTTTTAGGTGATATTTAAAATAGTAAAAAAGCTTGACACAACTTGATTGGTCCCAGGTGGCTAAGTTATGTGTCAATTCGACCACACCAAACGATTATTGAACCTAAATATAAATTTTATATTGAAAATATTTTATTACGTGAATGTGATGTAATACAAACTTCTAATAATCGCATTACCAATATTTTTATGACAACATGTTTAATGATTTATGAATATTTATATATCATTTTATTAATATTTATCTGAATTAAATAATATTTTATTATAATATTTATTAATGTACAGTAAATATAAAGTTTTCAGAACTGAACCGTCATTGAAACGATCAAGCTATTTTATTAAATTATTTGTGGTTTGCTCAGATTTTAATTTATAAACATTTTAATGGATATATATAGTACTTTTTGTAATAAAGTTAAATATAATGTGTTACTTAGATATCTAAGCAATTTATAAATTCAAATGTTTAAACTAATTGATAAATAATTTATAAATTTCTATTTTATTTAAATATGTGATTTTATTTAAAATAATTTTAAATATAAAAAAATTTATTTAGAAAATCGTATCGATTTCTACCAGTCCAACCAGCTGGTGTTGACGGATTCGAGAGCAAATATTTTATTCAAGCGAATTAGACTGGTTATAAACCGGTTCTCGGTCCATCCGGCCGGACTGTGTTCAACTCGGTTTAATTTAAAAACAATGAATAAATCAAGATTAATATTATTTATATATTTAATTTATAATACAATCGTTTTTCCGTGCATCGCACGGGCCACACACTAGTTTTAATAAATAGACTACGTTTTTTCATATTCTTTTTATTTTTTTTTTAAAACATTCATCTCTATCTTTATTAATGAGAGTTATTATTGGCAAAAATATTATTCTTAATTAGTATGTAATTTCCCAAAACGACACTTATTATGAATAGGAGGGAGTATTGTTTAATGAAATATAATACACGGGACTGCGCTTTATACCCGGAATCCAGAACAAAAAATGCACTAGATTTAAGGAAAGATGTTAAGTTCCGTGGTTTCCCAAATTGCCCCTATTATTTGGTTCAATTTCTAAAGATGACACTCATCAGAAAAATTAAAAAAGCTTCACTGCCCATTCATATGCTGCTATGGGGTGGTATCTTTAGAGAGAGAGAGAGAGACTTAAGCAGAGTGAGTGAATAATGGGAAAATCAAGTGCATCATGCTTCAAGATCATCAGCTGCGCAGGCGAATCTGTGGACCATGACGATCTCCAAAGTCCCGAGGTAACGTTCTATTACACATCTATTTGTTTCTAGCCCATTTTGGTTCGGTTACGAATTTGATCGTTTATGTGTGAAGAAATTCTGCTGTTTAAGTTTTTGTTAATGGTTCGTTTGAAGAGCTTCTATGTTTGGAGCT